ATCCATTTCCTTTTTACACAAGCTGATATTCTCTAGCCCTCTTTTCAAGAGAAACCCAATTTTAAGCATCAATAAAGTGATTTCCCTGGTTCAAACGGAGCTGAGGGTCTATCTGAATGGTGGAACAATTGTGTAGCGTGCTCAAGATGTTGTCCTTAGTCCACAGAACCATGGTGAAGGGGATCTGGTCCCAGTTAGGTTGACCAGTGGGTGGCTCAGACCCATGGCTGTATGAGCAGCAAGAAATGGACTCTATGGTTATAGAAGAATAAAAGTTATAAAGTTGGAAGGTGTTTTGGGAGGTGTCGGATGGGAGAAAACCAGGAAGAGATGGAGCAAAAAAAGTGAGTACAAATGATGGAAATGCATTGAAGGCTTGTATAAAATTATCAAGGAATAGATTAAAACAAATCTATTATATTAAGACATTAATTTCTTCTTTTTCTTCAGAACAAGATTCTAAGTTCTTGGAGTTGCAGCTCCTGCCTTCTCCTCTTAACTCATGCCCCTGCACTCCCCAAACACGGCATCCTTTCACACAGGTTACTGAAGGGTTATGTGCTTCCAGGCATGTGTCCTGACATAGAATCTTCCCTTCCATTTGGATGAGTCTAACACACACCTTACAAAAACTCTAAGCTGTCACCTTTACCAACCAATACCATTGATCTAGGATCCCTGGCAAAATTCTACATGGTTCAGGTTATGTGATATATACTATGAAAAAAAATCTTAAAGTTTTTTTTTGTTTACTAGAATATCACTGAAAACATTAAGCAGTTCTTTTACAAAAAGTCCTTCTTTAAAGCTAAATAATTTTTATATGTTGTCAAAGCCACACAAACATGAAAGTGCAGAAAATTTCTAAATCAACATCAAAGCAAATAGTCTCAATAAAAACTATAATGATTGTTGAGCCAGCTAGCAAATATCTAATAAACACCTCTCATGCTGGAGTTTGAATCTGGGATGACAGGAGTGAGCATATGGAGTCTTCCCATAGTTTACACGATTGTCAAGGGGCATTACCAATTGCTACCATGAATGACTTTATAATACCAGATGGAATAAAGTCCTCAGAGAGGAAAGAACATGGTGTTAGGAGAAGACGCAAGAAAAGAAAACCAGTGTGGACAGGAGAGATGATTTCTCAACAGAACAAATGGGTGAAGAGCAGGAAGTGTTTCAGATGGTAAGGATATCCTGGGTCCAATTGGACAATGACTTCGCAGGCTAGAAAGAAAGAGCACCGTGACATGAGGGCCAGGAGATTTGAAAAGACCAGTGTATTTTCATATGCCTGTGGAGCAAGAGAAAGTGGTATGAAAGAGGAGGTAGAACTAAATTCTGAGGGACAAAAAAACATATTTCAGACTAGAGTCACACTAGAGCAAATGGTCGTGAGACAAAGTATTTTATAGCTATTCTAATAACACCTGATGGCAATGTAGACTCAAGGAGAAGAGGTTATAGGAGAGGCAGGGTAATGAGAACATTCATATAATAATCTTTATAATGACAAAAAAATGAGAAGAGGCTGAAGGTAAGACAATGAATCTCATTTTGGACAAGTTGAATTTGAGGGCTTCTTTGAGATATTCAAATAGAAATATTATATTAGAAGCTAAATTGAATGAGGGTCAAAGAAAAACTTGAATTACACAAATGCTTTAGCATAGAATTCATAATGAAAGCCATGAGCAAGGGGCATTACCCCAGGACAGGAAGCAGAGTGCGAATTCCACCACTGCGCCACAGCATCTCTTACTCCCGGATCATTTGCACAAGGACAGCCAGCCCCGGAGAGGCTAGGCGCCCGGCTCCCCAACTCTAAGCCAGTCTTTCTTCCCCCTTCACTAATTCTCTGAATTGTGTACATGTAAGGAAAGGAATCTGCAAGAAACCTTTAGGCTAACCCGCAAACTTCAGAGATGAAGAAACTAGAGAGGTTTAGCCAAAGTCGTAGTGACCCAGAGAAGAAACAAAGACCAAGGTCATTTTATAAGCACTCTGGAAGATTTCCACCTGGGGGTGGGGGGCTGCAGACTGGAGGCTGGACTGAAATAGACATGTCTTTGTCATGCTGAAAAAAACGGCTCTTTGGCCCAAAGGAAAACTCAAGGCAGAGGTCAGAATGGCAATAGTTTTCAAAATCAGTTCCACTATAGATTAAATAATAGCATACAAGACAGAAATGGATGAAAGGTTGAACTTCCTGACCTTCCAAATCCTTTGCTATGAAACAAACTCATTATTTTGAATATCGTAAGAAATAAATTAATGTATTTACAATCCCTAACTACTTGGCACTTTTCTAAATTACTGATTAATATTTATGCCAAATATCAACATGAAGATAAATCACTATCATTAAAAACAAAATAAAGAGAATGGCAGCCAGGCATGGTGTGGCCATTCTGCAACCCCAGCACTCAGGAGGCTGAGGGGAGGAGATAGTGACTATGAGATCAACCTGGGCACACCGTGAGTGACACTGTGTCTCAAATAAATGAAAGCAGAACAGACTTCAGACACTTATTCAAATACTATGAACACATTAGAATACTAACAAAGCAAATATTCCTCTCATGGGTCCTAAGGACCATTATGTATTGTAAACTTATTAGACCCTTAGCCTCCAAAGCACCCATGATTATATAAGCCAAAAATATACACTCAAATAATACTCAGTCTACTTAGAATGCAATATATTCTCTAAGAAAAAGCATAAAAATATATTATTTCAACAGCTTGTTAAGCAACAAAGGACCTACTTTTGTTGTCAATTTTGATTCTTTCAAGCATGCATGTAGCCAAAGTAAAATAGCAAGGCTGTAAAATATAAGTACAACAAACAAATATCTTTAAAATGTGAGATCAACAGTCTCCTCTAGCATTCGTGGCTTTTCTGCTCTGTTTGAGATGTGGGTCTCTATTGTGCTGACGTTCAGAGTCTGATAGGAAGCATTTTCAACTGATGACAGTGCCACGGACTGCCCCACCACAGATGTCAGACGTGAGAAGAATGAACACCGTAAGTCACAGGATATGAATTCTAGGGAAACTGTTTCCATGCAGACTGGGACCTATGAAATTCATTTAAAGAAAATGTCAGAAAAAGCTACAGATATGCCCTTAACTTTACAGTTATTTTTTCCAATCTGCAGAAACAATGGCACAAATTTGAGTAAACATTTTATATTGTACTGGAGAACGTATGACCAAAGTCCAGATAGATCACCCTACTTGAACGGAGAAGGATTTGAGTCAAAAATTACTCCCGGAAGCACAGCAGACACTTCTCAGCTACTGTCTCAGAATTCATCTCAGGTGTCTCCTATATATAACCTGAAACAATCTACTATGCTCACATCCCAGGGCTCCCACATACCCAATTAAGGCAATAAAAGCCAGACGTGCTGGGGAGATGCTTATTGGGTAAAACACTTGCTGCACAAGCATGAGACTCTGAATTTGGTCCCTAGAAACCATGGAAAACATCCAGGCATAGTGTAGGCTTGTAACCCTAATGCAAGAGAGATGGAGACAGAGAGAGCCCAGGTGCTCACCAATACACCAACCCAGCCCGAATATGGAGCTCCTGGTTCAGGGAAAGATCTTGCCTCAAAAAATAACATGGGCAAGCAATTGAAGAAGACACATGTGCAAAAGTGCACTTACATATCCACAGACAAAAACAACAATAGATGACAACGGACTTGGGTAATTCTCAGTGGTAGCGCTCTGGAACTAGTATGCGCCAGGTTGATTCAAGTGCCAGTACTACAAATATATATATATACACATCCATATATGTATTCATAGTAATTTTTGAGGTCGCTCAGGCCTATAGTTCAGGAGGCTGACGCAAGAGGGTCACTATGAGTTTCAGTCCAGTCTGGACTGCAGAGTGAGACTTTTTCCTCAATAAATCAAATAAAAAATAAACAAGTAAAAAAAATAATAGATAAGTAATGAGTCACGAGAAAAAATATGAATAGAATATTAAATTTACCAAAGAACTTCAAGACAAAAAAGAATAAAATGAAATTATAGTTGTATGTTTAAGAAAAAGAAGAAAACGGAGTCACATTTATCTTCCAATATGTTGTTTTCCCAGTAGTTTATTACAGGGGAAATTTATTTTTCTGTATTGTTCTAAGCAGCATAGAAACCATGAAGTGAACATTTTGAGAGCATCCTTTAAAAGAAAAGAAAATAGCAAATTAGCCAGACGGTGGTGGCACACGCCTTTAATCCCAGCACTTGGGAGGCAGAGGCAGGCGGATCTCTGTGAGTTCGAGGCCAGCCTGGTCTACAAGAGCTAGTTCCAGGACCGGAACCAAAAAGCTATGGTGTTTCAGGCATACCCCACACCCAGTTTTTGACATGGGTTATGCAGAGCCAAATTTAGTATGTGTGATCAGGACCGTACACCCAAAACCATCTCTCCAAACCTCTCATCGCAACATTCTACACAAACATTTAAAAGCTCTCTATCACCCCTGTTAATCGGAATTTCAGTCCTGTGGTTGGCTTTTAGAGACACAAATTCGAGCCACCACTGCTCATGACCTGTTGGCTGTGTCATTGCCCAGTTCTCAGCATGGTAAACACTGGGGTGGTTCCTGGTGATCAGATCCTTCCTGGCTTTCCCAATTCCGAGCAATGCTGTGCTTCAAGACTCCTTCCCTGACTTCTCCTTAGTTGTCTGCACTCTCTCAACTTCCACATCCCGTCTGCATGGCATTGTTTTACACATCACTATTTATTTTCATATGGTTCTTTTCTCTTTTATCATATGCGTTCATGCTGTCTTTCAAGTGAGACCCTGTATCGAGTTAGGACTCTTGGTTCACGGCATGTCTTACCCTCATTTCCAGGTTCTAAACACCGTAATGAAGGTGCCACGGCATCTTACCAGCTGCTGTTTAACTGCACACCAGAGGTTCATGAAACACACAGTGAAGAAAGCGGAGCTGTGCTGGATGCACACTTACCAGAGAAGACACTAGGTATCTTGGAAAGGAAGCTTTTGACAGTGCGGATGGGAATTCCATTTTTTTCATCTTGCATGCGTGCTATGACATCTTCCATCTAAATGATAAAACAGAGAAAATGGTGAAAGTTGAATTTTGGAGGAAATTGCTGTTTCATAATTTTTTGAACTCTAGCTTTGCCTAATGAAGAATAATTCTACACTCTTGTCTTTCTATAATTTATTGCATTTATAGTTTTAAGACTTGCCAAACAAAGTAGGAAGAGGGTAACAAGTGGGGAAAGAGACTATTTGGGGTGCATTAAACCAGCGATAAGGATTTTGTGCTTTAACATTGCAGGTTACATAGTCTTCGGCTTTAAAAAGTGGGGATAAACAGTAACCGGGTAAGAAAGCACTGTTGGCAGAGTCACATCGTCTCAGCTTGGCTTAACTCAGGCCAAAAGCAAGTGGATGCCTGGGAACAATCTGCGTGGACTTTTCTTCAACATGGGAACTTCTACAGCTTGGGTTAACATTTGAGTTCAGTCTGCTTGGAAATGCAGGGCAGACTGAAAACCACTGGCTGCTTCACTTGCTAGAATGAGAGGAAGAGAGAGGGGGGACCTTTGTGTCCAGTTGGAAGATTGCACCGTGACCTCTTTCTTTCATCTTGTTCATCCACTCTCCTTTACACTGAAGTATTTGCACAATTCTAAAACTGTTCAACCCCAAGTCAAGGTAAGGAAGGACTGTGGGAGGCAGAGAGAGGGGCTGAGAACAGCACAAAATGGCCGGCCCACAGAATGAACTAACCAGGGCTCATAAGGCCTCATGAGAGAGACTGGATCAATAATCAGGGAGCCTGAGCTAGGTCCTTTGCATGTATGTTATGATGTGTAGCTTGACATTCTTGAGGCACTCCCAACAGTAGCAGTAGGGATTTTCTCTGACTCTCTTTTTCATGGTCTTGGGACCCTTTTTCTTCTACTGGGTTGCTTCATCCAGCCTTGATATGAGGGGATTGCCTAATCTTACTGTAATTTGTTATGACGTGTTTGGTTGATATCGCTGGGAGGCTTTCTCTTTTCTGAAGGAAAATGGAGGAGGAAGAGTGGATCTGAGGGAGAAGGGAAATGTGGGGAGGAACTGGGAAGAAAGGAAGAGGGGTCATGGGCTATAATATACTGCAGTCAGGCTGCAATATATGAGAGAATAGTAAAAAGAAATCTCTTCATCACTGAGCCTAAGGTGGAATTTAGTTCTATAGTAAGCATTCAATCAAAGCCTCAGCGTCTCTTCATGTGCTTCACACCTATGTGACATAAAACCACACAAGGATTCTCAGGCTGTAGTGCATTCATTGAGCTACCTTTCTGCAGTCAGTGGGCATCGTCCCTCAGTCAGACTCCCTATCAGGTACTGGGCTATGAAAATCTGTAAAATAGCATCCCTGCCCTTAAAACAAAAATGCAGAGCCAGAAGTGAGCAGTCAGGTGAAATGAGTAAAGCTCGCAGTTTAGTGAGCTCTGTACCAGCATCCATTTCCCATCTCGGTAATTACGCCATGCTTATATAAGAGGCTAACAGGAAGGGAAGCCAAGAATGGCCCGATGGGAAATCTCTGTGTTATTTTTGCATCTTTTCTGTAAGTCTAAAATTATTTCAAAGTAAAAAAGTTTAAAAGAAGCCATACTCTATACTTTATATCAGTGAGTCACCTAATTCCCACCACACAGTTCCAGAGTGGTTTTCAACTAAAAAAAAAAAATCTAATTTGCTTGGATAAATGTCATTTGATTTCTTAACATTCAGAATACCTGGGTGGGAGAGGTTTTCATGCACAACAGGTCTAGATTCGACTCTCAATACTTGTAATTACAGTACTTTGAGTGAATTAAATAATTTCACTAAGACTTACTCTCCTTTTTCATAAAACAGAAAGAACAATGTTTAGAACCAATCCTTAAAAAAACGTTGTCTGGGCACCTGGTGTTGGCACTGGAATAAAATAAAATAAAGTGCAATGATACAGCCAACACAAGGCCTGGCAGACAGATAGGACAACCAACACTGGACTCGAAATGTTCCATGTACTTCTGAGGCTTAAGAATGTCTCTATTTCAGCACATGCAGACATCCTTCATTGTATCCTGCTGCCTGAAAACATCCCAGTGTTAACTCCAGCTCGTGGACACGTGAGCCAGTAAGAAGTATGCAGACAACTCAGAGCAAGCCCCCAGATCCATTCCTCCTCTCCTGGCTGGAAGTCTACACCCTGGTCTGCTCCAGGGCGGCAGCTTCAGTGACTTCTCAAGTGTGGTTGGTCAGAGAAGTGAGTTTCAGAACTGCGACACACAGTGCACAAATAAGGGGGCTTGAGGTTGCTCTCTCTTTTCTATCCCTTTCTCCTTGATTGATGTGCTCAATCCAAACAGAAATGGAAGATATTTTTATTACTGGGTCTCCAAAATCCCTAACAGAAATCGAATACTCTACTTCAGTAATAAGGATAGCAGAGTATAGAAACATAAAATAGATATTCTGACTTTTTATTTAGTTACTGCTTGCCCTTGATTCACCTGACACGATGCTCAGAAATGAAGAATAAGCTGCTTCGCCTGCCTCATATCAGCCTGTAAGCCCCTGTATTATCTGCTTAAAGGCTTAACCGGGCCGATTAGACAGCCGCAGAGTCCCCTCTGCATCCTCTGTGCTCTCCCAAGAATGTGGCGTTGATGAATGCGGGTACAGAGCAATGAGCAAAGGGACTTTGCCCATGAAGTCACCTCTATGTGAAGGGGCACTCTAGAGCAAGGCTAGGAGGATGACAATTTAAAGTGACCTGTGTTATAGCAGCTCACAGTCTTTTTCTTTCTTATCTTTTCTTGATTTGGGGTCTTGATATGCAGCCCAATTTGAGAGCCTTCTGCTTCCATTTGCTGGATGCTAGATCTGAATCATATTTTCTATGATGGGAAAAATTTTTAACTATAATGAAAAAACTAGAATTTGTGCTCTAAACTGAAAATACAATTATGCAAAGTTGTTTAGGTGTTTGAATATTTGTTTGGACATGACTTATCCATAAATGTTACTACAGAGCACATGAGCACTAACTAACAAATAAATAAAACAGCAGCAAAATCTAATGCAAAGAAAAAGACACTAACCTGGTTCCTAAACCCTAAAGTGAACAACAACAACAACAAAAAAAAAACCTGCCTGTTCAAAGGTGGTGCACACTTTTAGTCCTGGCACTCAGGGAACAGAGATCTCTGTGAGTTCAAGGCCAGCCTAGTCTACAAAGTTTGTTCCAGGACAGCCAGGACAAAGCAAGTACACAGAAGAAACTCTGCCTCGGGGTTTGGGGGGGGGGGACAAATCTGTCCTCTATCTTAGAATGTCAATTTGATGTCAGTCTTCAATTAATTACCTTAGAAATGTTAGAAATACCAGCTGGACGAGAAAAGGAATGCTAACCACAGGCAACCCCAGTAATAGAGGAAAATGGACAGCAAGAGAAATAAAAGATTGCAAAATTTATTCTAACCAGTATTAAAAGTCTCCAGGACAATTTAGTTTAAGATCAAGGAGATAAAAGAAAAAGAAAAAAAATTCACATGTTTAGGAGCTCCATGAACAGATATGATACACATGCATGCGGTATTCATGTGGTGGTGTATATGTGTGTGCATATGTATTTACACACACACACACATGTCTTTGCCCCACCATTCTGGGCACATTATATACTCTTCAGGTTCCTGGTAATGCCCAACACAATGAGTGCTGTAAACAGGTACTCGGGTGGATCTGCTGAGTTAAAGCCAAAGGAACAAGGCTATGGATCAATTTTAACTTAGATTGCCTATAGATGGTGCTTGTTTCGGTTCCTCAAAGAGAGGGAATTTGAATAGAAAAATGTTAGGATATTTGTATATCTAAACCAAGAACCATGTGAACTAAAAATAGAAGAAACAAGGCTTTGCCCATTTCTGACAGGTGAAAATGCTGCTCTCAGATTTTCTTCTTTGGGAATTTCCCTCCTAGCCTGCTTTCTCTTTCAGTTCCACTGAATGCAAGCGGAACTGCATTTATTAGAGAAATTTATTAGACTCATTTATTAGAGAAATTTCTTCCATGAACATGTCACATCAAGCTGTTGTCTGGGACTTTCTGCTTGTATATGTGACTCCAGTTCACAGCTATATAGAAAGTCTCAAGATAAAGGATCTGTCGAATGACAACATGGGCTCCTTTTATGGTGGTTCATAGCTGCCTTTTCTTCTGGAGTATCTTAAGCAGCAGCTCAGTGCTTGGGATGACATTCACACACCGATCAGGCTAAAGAGTTGCAGCCCACACACTCGGGGGGGGGGGGAGCATCAAAGGAAAAGCACATTATGAAGACTTATCTTTAAAGAGCTACAGTGTATTGAGGAGAGGCCCCAGACAGGACCATACGTTCGGATGGGAAAGCTTCCTATCTCTCCACTGTTCTCAACAGCAATGGGAGCTCAATTCAATTAACCACACAGTTGTGTTTACCAGAAAGGTTTGTACAACATCATTAGCATTGACTTCATTAGCTCCAGTCACCCTGTGAGACACCCCGACTGCCAGCAAGGCACCCAAGTGGGGCTGAAACATGTTATACCGCTATGGCTCTGAGAGAGAAATGAATCGATCACAATTTCACAGGAAGTTTTCCGACTTTGTATTGCAACCCACCATTATTAAGCACAGACATTTGGTGACTTAATGAGAGCCTCACTGAGCATCTTGAATGGGTGTTTCTTATGTGCATATACTTTCAATTTATCACGTGCACCGTCATTTTCAGTGCTGGCTGTAGAAATGAGAGTAAGGACCACGAAAGTGCTTCTTGGATTCCTTAGACATTAGGTGGAGGCAGGTGGGCTGAAATTCACGTCTGCCCACATCACTCTTTCCCTTTCAGGGAGCTTTTCCAAGGGAAAGCGCAACGTGTACTTCTGAGCGGAGAAGTGTTAAGCAGAGAGAGCAGAGTGAGTTTCTAGTGAGAGTAAAATAATAACGAGATTACAATTTACAGCCCAAACTGGATTTTTGCTACAATCATTCAATTAAGGCTGTT